ACACAAAATTTAAGCCATGGAAAAATCAATCCTTCCATGAGATTCAACAAACATGTCAAAAATTCAAAAAAAAAAAAAAAAAAAAAAAAAAAGATATATGCATTAAGGTTTTCTCAAATGGTCAGGTTCCTTGAAACTTTCTCAATAAAAATATCTGACCAAATCAATCATTGGCCAAGGTAGCAGAGTCACATACCATTCCATTGTTTGCTGAGATGTGAGGAACATTTGCAGTCAAATGAAGCTGAGAGCAAGCTGATGGTGGAGAAGAAAACATGACCTGTGACCAAATTGCTGCAGAATGAATTGCATCTTCTTTCAACTAATCACCAACAAACTTATTTGTGAAGAAAAAGAATAAGATCTACTTGCCTCTAACCCAGAGGAGTTGAGATTTTTGTTCACTTGAGAGGGATTTTAATTGAGTTGTACTCCTAGCACAGAGGCGGAGCTGATTTCCCAATTTCACAAATAATAAAGTAAAATCAGTCTTTAACAACACAGTCAAGCTAGAGGCATTTTACAGGTCATGTAAGTGGGAATTCACATACAATTACATGAATGCCTTTTTTGGTCATTGTTAAATACATCGTGTATATTTCTTGGATCAATTCTAAGATCTGGTTTATCAATATCTCAATTCGCTTCAATCAAGCATGATTGCTGGGTAAATTTGAGGTCACAAAAACTTTCCTGCATGCTACTACTGCTAACGAGAAGAAAATAGATTTTGATGCAACTACTACCAGATTTTCATATGATAACTAATAGAAGATTTTCCTCTTATCCAGAATGACTAAAAATGAAATCTGTTTTTCTCTCCGAAGGGAAAAACAAGAAGTGGCCTTCTGGCATCTCTCCATTAGAGAAAAAGAACGTACCAGACTGCAAAAGATTCATTGCTAACCAAAAACTGGCAGGAGACAATAATGACGCATTCATGATTGGACTATAAAACAAAATCAAAATCAGTGAATAGAACCTTAAGTTAAGGTAACAGCATTCTGGATCGCGTGCAAAATAACAGCAAAACTTCCAGCCTGAAAATGCAATGGCAGGTCATGAAGACATTAAAAGATAGGTTTATATTCTTTAGAAACCAACAGACATAGCAAAAACAAAATGAATTTTTGTCAACCATCTAAAGCCATGCTGCTTTCTCAGGTATTAAATTCTGTAGGATTGCATCCTTCACCAAAACTGTTTTCTGAAGGTTAACTTGGCTAAGAAATTGCAATTATGATATGAGAAATATCTTTAGCTGAAATTGCAGATTATTTCTTCTGAAACAGTGATATTTACACATCTTCAATGCTTGTTAGGATATATCTTGCATTTGAGTTTGGCAGCTACATTACTAATTCTCGCTACTTCCAACTGTGCTTCTAGCTCTGAAATTATTTTCTCCTTTCTTTGATACTCTTCCTCATTATTTTTCAATTTACTTTCAAGATCATTAATCTTTTCTACACAAAATAAAGTAAATTCTACTCCCCTATTGTTATAGAGCATAACAGTGAGCACCAATTAAAGCAGGCTTGACAAGAAAAAGAAATTACCTACGGACACTTTCTCAAACGTGGGGACCTGATCCATTTTGTTCTTTGCCATTGAAGCACAACGAGTTGAAACATTGCAACTATTATTAAGTTATGATTTGTAATCCTGCATGAAAAATGGAGGTAAACATGGAAAAGAAATGGATCAAATAGCTACATACTTAGTTCCTCCCTTTCATTAACAATCCTCTGCACTTCAAGCACAACTTGCTTAACAGAGGATGCCTCCTTTCTATTGAATCAAATAAAGATAGATGAGACTTTATCTTCTCAACTAGCACAGTGAGTTTTCTATCCTTGGCTTCAATTGAACATTTCATTTTGTAAGCATATTGCTGAAACTAAATGTGATATCCATGAATGAATTTCTTGACATGATCACTCAAGACTTCAGAATAAGATTAAGGAGCATAAAGCAGTAACCACGATTATCTGTCCTCATCCATCATAATTAAGTTTCACAGATCTCTAGGACAAATTCTAGCTCAATAATGTTAATAGTAGAAAACTACATACATACATCCAAGCTCTAGATTACACAAATAATCTTCATCTCCTCAGATATATTTAATTTTCCTATTACTTCCACACTATAATTCTGGCTCCTGCTTGGATTTAATTACATAACTGTTGCAACATTCTATATCTATTTGCTAGCAAAACCGAGCAATGCAAGTTATGCAACCTACTAACACAGCCATTTCACTTCAATTCATAATTACCAGAAAGAAAAATTGCACTGATGATCATGAATATGTGATGTACCTGATAAGCATTTATAAGATCATCCCTGGACTGAAGCAAGCCATTAGTAGTTCCTTTCATCTCCTTTTGCTTGTTTTCGAGCAAAGCATTATCGTTTTGTAGGTAGCTAGCCTGCAATAACAGATCCGTCTTAAGCAACGACAGAACCGTCTTTAACAAGAAGTAACCAGAGAAAAGCTGATCATCTCAACGTCTAAGATGCATTTTCACAAACACATAGATGGCGACAGCAAAATCCACTAACCTCCTTCCTTTCGAGCTTTTCTCGCAAATCATTACACGAAGCTGATTCCGCTTGCAATTCCTGCAACTTTCGACTGAATTCCTCCTCCGTATGCTTTTGTTTCTGCATCCAAACAGCAGAATCGCTATCTCCAGATCATGAAAAAAAAAAAAGAAGAAGCAGGAACAGATCAAGAAATTTGAATCAAATCAAATAAAACCTGAAATAAAAGATGGATTTGTTCCGTCGCTGATCGCTCCCTCTTTTATAAAAGACTGGAACTCTGAAAGCGGTGAGAGAGATAAAGAGAGGAACCTGGAAGGCGGAGAATTCTTACCCTGAGATCTCGAGATTCCGTGACGAGAGCTCGAAGCTGGAGCTTGAATTTGAAGAGTTTCAGCAACTCCATTTTCGTTATTAATTTGATTATTATTTGTTCGGTCGCTAAGAGGACTCTTTCACCCGCATTTTTATTTGTTCTCCACTCTCGTTTGCCATTTACCATTTACCATGGAACCTTGCGTTCTAGGCTTCTATCTTTGAATTTCCCGCCATCTCATTGTGAAAATGCACTTATTTTAATGGTACATATTTATCAACAAAATTTTAAAATGAACCAGTGAGTTGAAATTGAGGGATTTGGACGGGAAGGGATTGAGACATGACAGTGAGGGGAGGTGTCTCCTTTCCTTGTTTAGATTAGTGCATTAATAGAGAGGAGTGAAATGGAGGGGTGATGGAACCCCTCGACTCCCATGTTTCCATAGCCCAAATTGATGAATTGCGATCGATTGATAGATGTTTGACCTTTTTTCACTTTTGTATAAAATAAATAAAAGATATTATCATTTTTTCTCTTATATTGTCCATTTAAACGTTGTTATCTTTTCTTCCCTTTAAAAATCCTTTATTTCCTCCCATCCTTTTTTTTTATTAATTTTTACCCAAATAAACTCTCAAGGTTTAATATTTTATTTAATAAATTAGATTAGTACCAAACAATGACAATTTTTCATTTTTTGTACTGATAGCTTTGTCAAAAATAAGTTTATATCCTAAATTAATAAAATCTCAAAACTTCGTATTCTTGTTGGTTATGATCATGTGATGAAATGAGTTGTAGGATTTCAAGAAAGGAAAATTATAACCATGATTTTATTCTTATTCTTATTGTAAGGTCATGTTTGGTTCTAAGAATTGAATGGGATGGAGTTAAGTTGTAAAAATTTAAGATGGAATGCAGTGCTTGAATTGAATTTTCATATCTGGTATGGATAAGGATCAACAGAATTGAAATTGATGTTATTTTAAACTTATTCGGCTTCAATAGTGGCATTTTTTAAAATGAAATGGGCAAAAATGTAAAGAGAAAAGAGTGATGGCATTCAAGTTTATTACCCTACACAAAGGGCTTTTTGGCTCAACTTATTTTGGGAGTTGCATAATAAGTACTCCTAAATTTTTCTCTTTTAAATTCGAAAAAATTTTAGAGAAAAACCTTAGTTTGTAAAAAAATTTTTTAAAAAAACTTATAAACAAGTTAAATAACTTGTCATTCAACTATATTCTAACACTTCTTTTTTTCTCGTCGATGAAAATAGTTTCGATCTAACACTAACTCCTTTGCCTTTTTGCTTATATTGTTGGGGTTACCTCCTTATTCAATTTCTTTAAATATGTACTTCAGCTCCCTTACTTTAAAAAGGATCATCAATTTGTTGTTATTGTTTTTTTTTTTTAATATATAGGAAAAAAAGCATCAATTTCTGCAACGAATCAATATCAAAAAAAAAAAAAAGCTTTAATTTCATTGTTGTAATTTTTTATCTGTGGTTAAAAATAACATTCAAGCTTTTTCCTTCTTTTTTTTTTTTTTAATAAAAAGCATAAATTCATTTATAACAAATTTAGACATCAAATAAATCCATGATTAGCGTCGTATATAAACAATAAAACTAAACATCGAAATTACTCTAACAGCCTTAATCATGTCCATGACAACGGTAGCGTACGTAGCCAGGAATATAGCAAATGAGGATAATAACGAAAGATAGGCGAAAGAGAAATGCAATGAATAAGACGTGGCCTGCATCCATATTGCATTATTAACTCGCATAAATATAGACGGTGGTCTAGTTTTCAATTGACAGTTACTACCGCACTGCACTTACAGAAATTGTTCCACGTTTAATTTAGCCACCAGCTTAATAGCTCAACGTTCAAAATTTCAAGTCACCATCACTCAACGCGCACAAACCCCTAACAGTTGAATTTTTTTTTTTTTTTTGACAAGGGTAACAATTATATTAGTATGGTTAGGTTAGTAAAATTAATATTGTTTGTGAGAGATATTGAATCTAAATCAAGAGTGCAATTCACCGACTGCCCTTTTGAGCAGCAATGACTACCATTGAACTGAAATGCTCCAACAGTTGAACTGGTCCGTCTCCAATTGTAAGTTTGTAACCATATATTGTATGCCTCAATTCCCCTTACTCAAGTTCAATCATTACTCCCCACGTCTCGTAATGTCCTTTTTATTTTTATTTTTTTGACCATGCATATGAAATAAGAAACAAAAATATTAGTTATTATTGAAATAAATTTATGATAAATATAAAAATTAAGATACTTTAATATTTGTTTATAAAATTATTTAAATACTCTTAATAATTTTTTATGTTTAAATTTATTAAAAATATTTAAATATTTTTATTATCATTTTTAAAATTTTAATTATCAAAATGTATTAACTTTCATTTAAAATTATTAATTTTCTTAAATTTAGCCAAATTATTAGTATTCAGCACCACATTCCCAGTTACACAAGGAGAGCCACAAAAACAGGAAAACCTTTTATCTTCTATGCAACTCCACAGCAAAAACCTTATTAGAGCAATCAAATGAAAACGAAGTTTAGGCTTTTACAGTCCAACTCAGCTCGCTGTACCAATGTACAGTGTCGACATTACCAATTCCAGTAATTCCCCATTTTTCATATTCCGCCGCTATCAAATCTCCTAAGCTTTTGTATTTTGCACATGCCGATTTTCCAGCACGAGTGTTTTTCCCAAAATAGAGTTTGGCACAAAACAGGAGGAGTTTCGATTGGAGACATCGAGCTTACAGCTCCCTCCCAATTTGCGCACGTGACGGAATAGATTTATCCGGTTGGTGTGTGATTCTTTAGTGGGAGATTTTAGGATAGATGTGAAGTGCGCTTTCCAGCGACTATGTTATGTGCCCAACTAAATTAAACATCAAACTGGCAAGAGGTTGGCACGGTACCACCAACGACTTGATTTCATTAAATAAAATGGGGGACCTTTGCATTTGTATCTGAGTGCCTAGGCCAAACTCAGTTAATTAACTAATTGCCAGTTTGTTTAGTTTGATTAAATTTTAAGATTTAGTTATTTCTCCCTTTCTCTCTCTCTCTTTTTTTTTTTTATTTGATAAAGATTAGTAATTAAATTATAAATATATGGTTAGTATAACTTATTTTACTATCATCACACATATTATCAAATAAGTTTATTTAGTTCTTTTAGTGTGATTTTTATATAAAATTTGATTAGATAATTTTATCTAATAAATAGATGACAATTAAGTTTTTTCTATAGTAGTATTTATTGAATATTTTTATTTAAAAACCAAGAAAGTTAAAAATCACTTATATAGAATTTTACAAATCATATTGATATAAAATCTTGATTATTTATTTTCTTATTTTTAATGATTGAGATTATTATTACTTTTTACGTAAAAAAATTATTTTTAATAAATATAAATAAATCTCAATTATTAAAAGTGAATAAATAAATAATTAAAATTTTATATAAATATAATATATAAAATTTTTGAATGTAAATAAATTTTAAATCATAAAAAAAATTTAATTATCATTTATTTAATATATAAAATCACCATGTCGCAATTTATATAAAGGTCAAGTTCAAACAACTACTTAATTTTTAGTAACTTGAGAAATTTTTATTTTCTTTTTATAATTTGATAGGGAATATGTAATCTTCTGACCAAACAAAACCCTTTATTTGGATTAATAATTTCACTTTGGTAGGTGGCAGAGACAATCAAATTGATATGCATTAATTGAGGGTTTCCTTTTTTTTTTTTTTTATATGTAAAATTGATGCATTGAGTTGGCTGATTAAATCAACCGAACAAAATAAATGCTAGCAGCATGCACCAAGGGAGGAATTTGATTTTTAACACGTGAGAAGCAAGTTGGAATCAAAATGGATGGTCTCCACTTTCTTGTACTTCGACGCACTTTGTGGCTGAACTCCATTTCGCTTGCTTGGCGTTGGCGTCGAATTTTTAAATCAGGATTTCAATGTCTTATAAATTGACAGATCGTGACATTTACATTTGTTGTTTTTTCCTTTCATTTTGTTTTTTGTTTTTTTGCCAAGCTGACTTAAATTAAAAAGTAAATAGTTTCAAAAATAATAAAATATATTTTCTTTTTAAATTGTATAATAAAATTATAAATTTATTAAAATATTTTAAAATTTTATATATGTTAAGTTATTAAAAATATTTTAATAAATTTAATATTCAAACTATACTTTTAATTTATAATCTAAACTAAATAACAAAAATTTCATAAAATAACGTAAAATATGGGAATAATTATTTGCACAAATAAAAGTATTAAGATTATTAGAAAATGTTGTAAATCTTGTGAATTTTACTACATGTTGTCATGATTTACCGTTTTTTTAATGGTCTTAACAATTTCACCTGAGTGTGATGATATTTTCTTTAAAATATGTAACATCTTTAAAGTTTTTTTTTTTAAAATTTTTAATTTTTCTGTATCAAAGGCTGTATAGTAATTTTTTTTATCTTAATTGCATAATAAAAAATAATCATATTTTATTTCTTATTTCACTTTACTCGCATATTATACAAATTAAATTCAAAATCTCTTACTTGTAACAGAAAAAGATAATTACTTACTTAGTTAAGTAATTAGTTGTACAGTAATTGTTTAACGAACTTGTTAGAGGGTGAATTGGATTGATTGCGACCCGTCCAGAGTTTACGTAGGGATTCAATTATTTTAGGCTCTGATATGGCCCTTGATGTAAAGTTGTCGATCCATGATATGGAACAGCACTCTAACCATATGTAAATCAATCTTTTTCTCTTTCCGATGACGTAGCATTAGTTTTTATAGATATTTTTATTTAATGAGATATGTAAATTGACATAAATTTATTCATTTTTGTCGACAAATGTTATCAAAATTGATGTTTGTAAACGATTAAAAAAGAAAAAAAAAGTACTCAGTAAGCTAGTTTCAACGAATGTTTAGTAAAATAAAAAAAAAATTAAAAGGTGCTTCGTTGATATTACTTGAAAATAAATTATTAATTTTAATATATGTATAAATTAATTTAAAAATATTTTAATTGTCTAAATAAAAAACAGTTAAAGGGTGTGCTGATGTTAAGATCATCATTCGTTATTTCAACATTACAAATAGTGATTCAGTTTGCACAATAGGTTTGCGTAAAACTTATTCCTTGTATATGAAAATCGTGAATTGCAAAACAGGTTTCACATTTGGTGGGATAAGGTAATGGTTCTTTGGCAGGGTGTTTTTGGAAAGTATCTTATAATTAAGCTCTTTCTCATCTCTTTAATTTTAATTATTTTTGAAAACGAAGGTGAAATTTAAGTAACAAAAGTTCTTATAAACAAGCATTCGAATATCACCGATTAAAGTTTAATTGAATTTGTATTAAGTAATTACAAAATTTTGATTTAAGGTCAAAATTAAGATTTTAAATTTCTACCAAATAGTTTATTATTATTATTTTTTATTTTGATTACATAATAAAAGGTAATTATATCTCATCTCTTATCCCACTCCACCCGTATGTCATACGATTTAAATTCAAAATTTTTTATTTTTAGTGAAAGGGAATAACTACTGAGTTGTTTAGGTGATTGATTATCAAATAATTTACTCTTTGATATATTAATAAAAAATATCAAGTTTGTTGATAATGTTATTGTCACATTTTCTATTATTAATATCACATTTTTTGTAAAAATATAATATACAATTACATTAAAAAATATAATATTAACTATTTAGATATCATAATAACTTCACATAGAATTTGCCATTTACTAAAAACCATTATTAAAAATGCAAATAAAAAAATAAGTACATAGATTTGTACTAAATTTAGAAATGAGTTTATGGACTTTTATAGTTTCGACCGACATAAGGACATGATCTTAATTTGCATTAGATAAAAATAAATAATATTAGACAAAATTGACATGTGATATCATATAAAGTCGGAAATTACAATGAAAACCCTCTTTCACATTACTACAATCTCTATCAAACTAATAATTTGATTGAAAAGGAGATAATTATGTGATGTTACTTACTTTATACAGCTCTTTTAATTGTCATTGTTTCTTAATTTTGTATAAATTAACTTGATAATTTTATATAGCATTTAACAATTGAATAATAATTAAATTTTTTAATTTAAATGAATACACTCCATAAAAATTATATATTAACAGATTTTTTTTTTCGCTCTCTGCAAAAAATAAACTAGAACAACTAAATTAGATAGAAAATAGTATCAAATTTCCAACCAAATTATCGTTTTCTAATATATGCAAAGATTGTGACTTTATTAACATAATAATCAAAATTACATCCTACTAACAAAATTAAATTTTTTATTAATTTTTTAATATTTAGTAATTATATTAGATCTTAACTAATTCAAAATTAAATCGTATCAAATCTTATAAAAAAAAAACTTTCTTACTATTTATTTCACTATTACAAAGCTTAAATTTAAAATTTAAAATTAATTTTTTTATTCAAATTACCAGTTTTTTTGGTAAATTTAAATCCCTTTGTTACGTAAGTATTATCATTACCGATTAACGTACGTGACGGGGCGACCCCACTCCCAACCAATCTAGACCGTTGATCAGAATTGCAATCGAATCCGACGGTGAAAAAAGCGGGGTGGAGAAGCACGTGGGGAGTATCCTATAAAGTCCGGAAGCCCCCGAAGAATGAAAGCGCTGGACCCTCCGAGAAAACCTCACTGGAAGTGACTTCGTCTCGACTCTCGAGGTCTCTGTCTCTCTCTAACAGTGAAGTCGCCAGTCCATCTGGAAATAGAAAACTGAAGCACACTGTACACTAATTTCCATTGTCCAAGGAGATCACGCAAGAAGAAAGACAAAAACTGAGAGCCCCTAAATTCCTCTTCCATTTTCCATTTTCCATTTTCCATTTTCCAGTCAATAAATAGCTTCTGCTCCAGCTAAGGATGGTGGTTTATGGTTTGTTTGGATTTTGAGGTTTGGGGGTTTTTGATGGATCCGCCGGCGATGATGGGTGACGGAGCATTCAATTTGGCTGAGATCTGGCCGTCCCCGGTGAATGAATCTGGGATGAGCAGGGGTCACTTTGGAGACCCGAATCGAGAAGTTTCGGGTAATGATCCGCTGAGTTTGGAGCAGCGCGGTGGAGTCAGGAGGCGCCGTGATGCGGAGGATGAGGCGGCTAAGGTCGTGTCCACTAGCGGTGGCAATGTCGTGGTATTCTTTGCAACCGCCTCTTTATTGCTCAGTTTGCTTTCATGATCTATTTCTAGTTCAAATCAATGCTTTTAGAAACTCAATATCTCCTCTAGTTCTGTGAATTTTGTTTATCCTTTTGGTATGAATGAAAATTTGAAGTCTAGTTAAATAATAATGATAACATTGATTATAAATAAAGGTGTTTCTGGGTTGTGACTTTGGATTTTTTTTTTTTTATAATTTTCTGTTCTGATTTCTGTAGAATGATGGTGATGGGAAAAGGCTAAAAACATCAGGATGTATGGATGTGAATCAGGAATCAAAAGTTGAAGCAGAACACGGTTCAGGCAAGCCTGTGGAACAAAAAGCTCAACCACCTGAGCCACCTAAACAGGATTACATCCATGTGCGAGCGAGAAGGGGTCAAGCTACTGATAGCCATAGTTTGGCAGAAAGAGTAATTTGCTTCAATCCCCTTATGCATTTTTTCCCATCTCAAAACCAAAACATTCTGTTCTTTTGTATCACGGGCATATGTATCCAAAATCTTCCTTAAGACTATAGAGAGAACAAGACTTATGAAAACATTTATATTTTTATTTCATATCTTTATGATTATCATTTCGTTTGGTGTTTTGATTTAATTTTTTACCAATTTAATGTATATAGAGCTGCCGAATGAGTTTTTCTGATATGATTCATTTGTTGGGCAGGCCAGGAGAGAAAAGATCAGCGAAAGGATGAAAATTCTTCAGGATTTGGTCCCTGGTTGCAATAAGGTATGCTTTGAGTATGGTAATCCTTAAAACTGCATCGTATTATATTCAGATTTGTCACTGTTTTCTTGGATTTGATTTGTTTGTAAGCTCGGTTCTAAATTCGAATTTTGGTTTCAGGTTATTGGCAAAGCACTTGTTCTTGATGAGATAATTAATTACATCCAGTCACTACAGCATCAGGTTGAGGTATGAATGAAGTCTTCTTTTATTACTTTACTGTGAATCTTAGTTGATTTTCTCCCTGTAACACCAGTCCTTAAACATATTACCATGCTTGAATTTCTGGATTCTGCAGTTCCTGTCTATGAAGCTTGAAGCAGTCAATTCAGGAATGAATCCAGCCATCGAGGTATTTCCTCCTAAAGATAGACATAATATCATAATTCACTATGTAGTATGTACTACTCTGACTTCTTTACCTTGAAACTGACTTTTAGCATATTTCTCTGGTGAACTTTCTATCTTATGATTATGAAATTGCAGATAGGATTGTAGCATATACAAGTCAATTTGCTAAAAGTATGTATGCAACTCTTTGATGGAAAGTCATCTTTCATAATTAGTAACCTAAGAGGAGGAGGCAATTGAAGTGGTCTTAATTTTACTTCAGTTGTGGATAAGACCATCAATGAATTTGGTTTTCCATTTTAATCAACTAGATGCTACTTTGGATAAGGCTTGCCCATAATACTGGACCAAAATGTCATAATCTTGATTCTAATGTAGTATACACGGCCATCTTGCCTTACTGCTTTTAATTCTTTGACTATGTCCAACTGTTGCTTTGATTTTTTATCAAATTACTAATGGCTAGCCTACATTCCAAACCATGTTATGGGGAATGTTCGATGAATCACCTACTTTATTCCCAATTTTGCCTTCCTAGTGATCAACTTAGCTCAGAAAAATTACCAAAAGAAAAGAAGACTTGGATTAGCAAGAACAGAACAAAATCCCCTTCCTGGCCTTAGGTCTAGATCAAGCAAAGTTGTTTATGAAACTAGCCCCGTATATAATTTTCTATAAGTATTTTTCTTTTTCAGGTAGCAAAGCCTGTGAACTTTTTTTGTTGCTACTTTCATGAAAACAAAGCACTTCTCTTATGCAGTGCACATTTATTTTGATGAATAATGTTACCACAAAGACCATCGTCTTTCTCATTCCTCTTGATTTAAATTTATTTAACAATCAATTCTGTCTTGTGTTTCAGTATGGCCAACAAACGTTTGACACTGGCATGGCATATGGTTCACAAGCAACAAGGGACTACAGCCCCAGTGCTTCACCAGAGTGGTTGCAGAAGCAGGTTGGTGGTGGTTTTGAAAGAATATAATCTACAAATATCCTATATGAATTGACAATAAGATAATTTGAGTAGCAATAATGCTTCCTCCTTCAGTTTCTGTTAAGAAAACGTATACCCCTTTATGTTAAAATCAAAGAGACACTACCATAGTTACATTTTTCAACATCAGGCTTGGATCTGCCATTTGTTGTGTGTTGGAAAGTGAATTCTTACAGCATATATCCCATTGCAGGCTTCTGATGTCTGCTCTGTAGTCTGTACTAGTACCGAATGGATTCGCATAGAATGATTATTGTGCTTGTACAAGAATTTTGCTTGTTAAGAAGTTATAAACCGTACATGAGGTGATGTTAGTGTCATACTCTCAGCTGCTAATGTCATATGTCTTTATTTTAATTAATTATTATATTTTTTAATTTATTAAAAAACAAAAAATGTAAAATTTTTTTTTAAAAATATGTAAAGGTATAATAAAAAATTATATTAACAAAGTATAATATTAACTATTTAGGGTGTCAACTTTGTTTTACATTGGGTTTGCCAAAGACGCTGAAGCTGTGATCAATAAATTAAAGCCGGTTTACTGCATTTTGATTTTATAAAATCTTTTTGTCAACTGTTCATGAGCTGCTCTTTTCTACATGTGTAGAGATAATACCTTCTAGCATCAATTACCATTTTTATACATTTTCAAAGCACATTATATAAAAAACATTCAACATGATACTCAAAAATCTTCTACACCATTATCTATTGTTACATGACAAATGTGAAAAACAACGATCTAGCCTCTAAACAATAAATCAAATTACCGGTTGTGTTCTACCAAACGAACTCTCCCCTGGGCCAAAACCGTTACCACTTGATTGGAAATATGAAATACCCGCCCAGATCACCCGTAGCAGCAGAATCACCGCAAATACAGTGCCTCCAAGGGTGCATATCACCTGCAATCAAAGTCACCATTCTTTCAATTGCTCCTACTTCCTTAGAACAGAAAAGCTTCGGATGATCGAAGAACAATAATATCATCGATGATTATATCAAGACTGGTACAACGTTGGATTCGTTACTCTTCCTATTAGAGTACCAAGCTCAAGTCCCAACACTTAAGCATTTTAACAAGAAACACAAAGGCATGGTTTTTAATTACTAGAGATAGGATGCTTTGGTGAATTGGTGATACTACCTCAAGAAACGCTTTGGCAATAGAAAGTGAAGCCAGCAACAGGATCCCATCTACTGCAAAAGACACCTGAATTCTCTCTCATAGAAACAAAGATGAAAAATCAGGCACTGATCAAGTCATGCCCCTGGGAAGACCCAGGTTCAAATCCCGACTCCCAAATACTTTTCATTATTATTCAGTAACAACAAAAACCCAATATTCAAACAGTTAATTACAAGTTTTGAAGGGGGTAAAGAGAATTCACCAGCTGAGGCGATATTGCGGCCGGTAAGATGGGGCGAGAGGCCTTTTTGACTCGCTTGGAGACCTTCTTGAACATGCTCTGCAAGAATCTAATCAACAGATCGATGCTGCTCTCAGATTCATCCTCATCGCTGTCATCCTCGATCACATCTTCAATTTCAAAGAAAGACTCGTCGATTGCTCTCGGTTCATCGCCAGCTGAACCATCAAACTGAGAACACGGAAGTCAGTTTTGAAGAATCAAAATCAGATTGAACGATTAAGGAGATGAGAAGATTAGAGAAAGACCTGGCTGTGGCAGATGCGAAATCCGAGGTTTCTTTGGGGAAGGGTATGGTGAGAAAATGAGAGAATTGCAGGTGGTGAGAGTGAGGAGTGGAGTAGGTTCTTCCTGGATATGAGACTGGTGCGCGACAAAGGAGATGAAAGGGCCATGGTAGCTGCCATTATTGAGGAGAGTCGATTTCGGACTGTTAACCAAGCTGTTAATTCTTATATATATACTTATGTAAAAGGTCCAAAAGCCCACCATAGAAGAGGAGTCCACAAAGCCCAACTTCTTTCTTTCGAAAAATTGGAATATTATATTTTATTTTAGTTTTTATAAATTTTGTAATTATTAAAAATAAAAATTAAAGCTGTATAACTTAAATCATTTTATAGCTAGAGTCACTTGATATTGAGATAGTTGTCTTTAATTTAATGATTTTTTTTATTTTTTTGTTTATTTTATGAATGAGTCTTATTTTTTTAATTTTAAGTAATATAGAAAAAATGTATTGATAAAAATATAAATTTTATTATTATTTTTATTTAAGATGTGCAGTTTTAGTTTTTTAAATAATACAATAATTTTTTAATATTTTTTATTTAAAAAATATTAATTTTGTATTTTTTATTAAATGATGTCAATTTAAAATTTTTTTATTTAAAAATTAATAAGATAGTGATGCTTATATGGTAAATGTTTTTTTAATTATCTAATTAATTTTTAAATTAAAAAAACAAGTTTAGAACTCTTAAGTAAAAAAAATTAAAATTTTACCACAATATTTAAAAACTTACAAAATTTAAATCTTTAAATAAAAAATGTATAGATTAAGAGTATATAAAAAATTATAAAAATAAATTTTATTTTTAACATTAATATTACATAAAATATTTAATTAGATAATTAATAAAACATAAATTAACTTTTATTTTTTAATGCAATTTAATAATAAAAAATATATTATTAATTTGTACTTAAAAATATAAATTAAAAAATTTCAATAAAAAAATAAAAAAGTCCATATCCTAATCTACAGCTTGTCTCGAGTATAATTTAAACTACCACAAAATGGAGAATTTCAATATTATATATCAAAATTCCATATAAGTGGAGTTACACTTTTATCCTATATTATGACATATTTCCTAAATTATCCCTGTTACAAGTTTCCTCCCCTACGAAGTCTTAGCTAAAATAGACCTCCACAACGACAGGTGGCAGCCGCTCTTTACGCTAAGCCCCCCCGCGCCAAGCGCACGCAATCCTACGTGGCAAAGGGACCGAAGCCGCATGGAAATATCCCATAAACGACGCCGTACGGAACCTTTCATTTCACGAACGCGTCCTCTTTGGCGGTTGCCGGTTTTAACCAATTTTTACCGGTGACATTTCCACTCCCACGCTTCCACCCGCGCGTCTCAAAACCGCGCGCCTGATTCGCATTTCACTTGGCAGTGGACCCCGCCACTCCACTATCACGCGCCACGATTATTTAGCAAATCAATTCGGTTTGTTGATCGTGTTTTAACCCTATTTATACACAATAACGGTTCAAAATAAAAAAAGAAAATCGAAAATTTCAAACAAACAAAATAAGAAAAAAAAAAAAAAAAGTGAAAGTGAATTGAAGCAGGGGTCCTCTCTGTTTCATCGTTCCGTTCAAAGTTCTCCAATTTAACGGCTCCAAAAATTGAGAGAAACTGAGTGGTTTTGCGAAGAATAGAAGATCGAGAAGGGGAAATCAGAGGAATCGGATGTTGATTTCTGGAAGCTGAATCGTCGATTTGTGATTTTTATTGCTTTTGATTCTTTGTTTGGATTGACAAGGGAGAGGAGAAGATGAATGGATGGGATAGGACCAGGTCATCGAGATCGGGTCGGAGTTCGACGAGCGTGAGCCAACGCACGGTGTCACGCACGGTCACGCTTGGCCGGGTTCAGCCACAGGCGCCTTCTCATCGCACCATTTACTGCAATGACCGCGACGCCAATCTCGGTCTCCGATTCAAGGTAGGTACTCGCCTTGATGTGCCTGCATTTTTTTTTGTTGCAGTTTCATTTTTCCAGGATTATAGGAATAGCGAATGCAGTAAACTTATTCAAAATATGAATATTCAAGAAGAAACAGAATGAAATTCAATATGAATATTCAAGATTTAGGTTTCTCGTTTCTTGTTTTTCTGTAATTTTGCATTTTTGTATTTTTTTTTATTGAATTGGTGTTGGCTACGCCATCTAGAAGTAAATACTTGATCAGATTTTGCTTTCTTTGAATGTGATCGGAGAAAATGAGAGTGTTACATATCATAATATTTGTGGCACCATTTGAAATTCAGGACAAAGCAGGTGGCATAGAAATTTGATTTGCCACTGCTAATTTGTTTGTCATTTTCATTGTGAAAAGCCTATAGAGTTAAGACAATTTTTGAAGAAAGTGTGCAGACATTGATCTATTTAAGTTTCACTAAATTATTAGTGGAATATGCAAATAGTATTTAAGAAACTCATACAGGAAATGCTTGGAAATGGTTTCTGTCTTTAGGAGCGCTTCTTTTTTCCTTTACTTGGAACTTGAATATTTAATCTCTTTCTTGCTCAACATTTCTTTGCCAGTGAAGGATGCACTTATGCTTTTATGGAGGTTCTGGAAAGTGATAATATCTTGAATTTCCAGTTAATGATTCCTTAGTTAAGCATTGAATGTTATTTACATCATTCCCAATACACATACACGCTTGTCTGTTTATATTATAGCAATTGATCTTGATTTATTTTTTATTTTTGTTTCTTGTCCTGTGTAAGCTTGTTCAATTTAACTAGGAATCCTTTTGGTTTGTTAATCCTTTTCTTGCTTGCATTTGATGATAATAAGGATTTGGTGTTCATTAGCAATTTACAATGTACCAGGGGAATTCAATATCAACTACTAAGTACAACTTTTTTACCTTTCTACCCAAGGGGCTGTATGAACAGGTAAATTTACTTGAGTGTCCTAGTAGTGATTTGATATTGTTGGTTATATTGTTATAGGAATTGTTTTTACTGAGATATTTAAGTTCAACTTGGCACAACAACTTTCTGATCCAACCTTTAGAGACATTTTGGCGTTGGAAAATTGAACTAGAGGATTTTTTTTTTTTTTTTTCTAAAAAAGGCTTTTGTCTGGCAGCAACCAATGGGTGATCACCCTTGCTAACAGTAGAGGTTAGGTCACTCAAAATGGGCTCCAAATTTGTGCAAATGAAGGATATTCTAATATCATATTATATTTGCTAAGTTGCATTGTATTTTTGTGGTGGTGACTTCTGTCCTGACAATTTTGCGTTTAATCTGACAGTTCAGGCGGGTAGCTAATATGTACTTTCTTATGGTCTCAATTTTATCAGCAACTCCATATAGGTATGTTCATTCCAATAATTACAAAATCATTATCCCAGGAGTGCTATGGTTGGTCCCACAATAGGGGTTTCTTTGTTGCCTTCCTCAAAAAATTTATAGTTGCTCTTCCCAAATTATTCTTCATGTTGCTTCAATTGTTTTCATCCAGATGTGTATGTAATTTTAATGATAAATTATTTCAAAAAGATTATCATTCAGGCCTAACAAACACTCTCCTTTGGAGCTGCAGTAAAATGATTTCACTTTTTTGTCACAATATTCTGAAATGCACTTTGCATATGTTATTTTGTAAGTCCTTAATCAAACTTCTACCTTCCATGTACTCATCTATTGCATTCAATTTGTGCTTTCTCTTGTATGTGGAACCTTTCTTTTGCTCTCCCTTTCTTTCTTCCATTGTGATTGGTTTATTCCTTGTGCCTATAGGCTAAAGAAGGTGGCAAGTTATCTATTATATCTAACCAATTGACTTGTGGTCTTAAGATCTATTCCCAAAGTACTCAAGGCTTTTTCTGATGACGCAGTCCTGTGCATCCAGTAACGAATGTGGTTCCCCTGAGTTTGGTGCTTTTAGTTTCCCTTATCAAAGAGGCATTTGAGGATTGGGTGAGTACCAAAGTTTGTGCTTATTGTGGTATGCAACCACCTTTGGCATGGATTCTTTTCTATGACAACACGGTTGTCTAGACCCCTAAATCATTATTTTATATTTTTTATTCGCCTCTCTTTTTTTGTTTTTCTTGAGAGGGTGATGGGGCCCTTTTGGGAAGGTGCGGTGCCAAATGCAAATGCTGAACTTTTTAGTTATTGTTTCCTCTTGTTATGTACAACAGAAGCGTTTTCAGAATGATATGGCGATAAATAACACTCTTGTAGACGTGTTGCAAGATCAAAGGTGGGAGTGCATTCCTTGGAAAAGGTTGCAGGTTGGAGATATTGTAAGGGTGAGTATTGCGTGTTTCTCTGCTTCTGCAATATATTTTTTCTTATTTGGATACTTAGAGCTGATTAATGACTTCCAAATAATGGCGTTTCTTGTGATACACCAACAATGAGTGTTGTTGTTTCTCTTTCTAATGCAATATCATAATAATTACTTGCCTATTTGCACTAAAGCAAACAACTCTTGCTTTATTTTAATTTAAGATTTTAACTTGAAAATAGTGACCTTTACTCTCTTTTTTTTCTAGAGTTTTGTAACTTGTAGGAAGTTTCTCTTTATGCATGTGGTTTGTTAATTGTAGCAGAACATGCTATAATATGTCTTTCCGTACTGGTATAAATGTTATGGCTTAGTTTAGTTGACCTACATGAATTATTAGCTTTTGAAGAAAGGAATGAGAATGTAGTGGAATTTTTCAACTCATTGCAGGTTAAGCAAGACGGGTTTTTTCCTGCAGATTTGCTTTTACTTGCTAGTACAAACCCAGATGGTGTCTGCTATATTGAGGTACTTCATTTTCTCAATGCTATCCAGACCTGTTCTTTAAATTTTTATTTTGTTTATTTGTGAAATGCATGACGGTTATGTCCATGGATTATATTCCAGTAATTTTAATTTAACTGTAAAGTAAAGCAACTTGACCTTTTGCTTGCAGACTGCAAATTTGGATGGGGAAACCAATTTGAAAATCAGAAAGGCATTGGAAAGGACTTGGGATTACTTGACTCCTGATAAAGCCTGTGAATTCAAAGGTTTGCCCTTCATTACTTCCCCTTGTCAATATGGAATATCCCATTGCTTGCTGTTAGCCAAATTCATATTTTTGCTTAGGAGTTAGGACTTTAATTATTTCTTA